AATAGAAAATTTAATTAATTCTAAGTTTGAATATGATCTACCATTACACAAAAAACGGGTTGGGGAAAAAAAGTTGGGGGTAAGGACAAAAGAATTTTTAGGAATTTTTGTAGAGAAGCAAAGAGAGTTTTTGTTAATATTTTGGTTAATATTAGGCCGAAAGCCTCTGTTGAGGGCTTGTTTTGACCAGATGGAAGAGCTTGACAACTTATCTTAGTGCTAACAGATAAGTTGTAAAGATAGTTTTAGAGAAATAGTTAAAAGTTTAGATTCTAAAACCAAAAGAGGTTTTTGTAGCATTATGCTACGAGTTTTCAAGATAGAAGCTTAAAACTCTTAAATTATATGTAAAATTAAGAGCTGAGCAAGTTTGCTTAAGATGTTAAGAACAGTTATCTTAATAAAATATTGAGTTATTAAGGATTTTATACTGGCGAATTTTTAGTTAAATTTTGTGTAAGTGATTGACGGAAAGAGTTCCCTAATATTTTAATAAAAAATTAAATTAAATTAAATAAATACTTTTTTTTATTTTTTTTATTTATAACCTTTGCAATGTTACAGAAAGGTGAATTTTTATTAGGTATTTTAGTAGTATATTTTTGGTTAATAAGAGTATATGTAGCTATATATACAACTTTTGGTTGCTTATTTAAGTAGTCCATCCGAAGGTTCTACACTATATGCTATACCTGTAATCTAGCTAGAAGATTACTCATTTAAACTCTCTGATGTCCTCTGTTCTGTACCACTGCTACAATTCCCCATTTAATAACATAATTCCAAATTTCTATTTCTTTCATTTGCAAATCATCACGTTTGATGAGTGAAACAAGTGCATCTTCTTGAAGTAATGTAAAGTCTTCTGATTCAAAAATAATATTTGGATACTTTACTATAATGTCGTTACTCCATTTCTGTAATTCTTGAAGTTTATTATTTTCAAAGCTTTTTCTATAAATATGTGCAAACCGTGAACGTAGCCAATGGGCCTCTGCATTAATTAGATGTGTCTCAAGGTGTTTTACTAATTCTTCAAGATGAAATTCACAAGCGACTAGCATAATATCAAAAATAGATGATGCCTCAAGGTTTTCCAAAGATAATACTCCTCCATAGATATACCTTTATCAATTTATTTTATTAAATTTATTTTTATACTGTATATAATTAATATATATATATATAGTTTATCCATAAAAATAATAACTCACCTGATAATAATTTCAAAATCTTGAATTGATTCTTATAACATTACCTACCAGTACCTCTTTTTTAGTTAATTCATTACGAAAATATAAAGATCTAAATTTCAGAATAGCTGTGTGTGTCTTGAATTCTTTAGTGTTTGGTGATTTACCCACTTCAATAATCACATTATAATCTTCTCCACTTTCAAGAAGTTCAATATAATTATTTGAAAGATTTTCAAAAAATTTATTTGCCATCATCGTCATGTAAAATATTTAT